TGCTGATGCCCTGCCCAGTTCTCCCTCCAAAGCCTGGCAATATTTTCCATGTTTTGCTTTGTGCTGCAGACCCAAAGAGAACAAATTGGGAAAAAAGTCCCAAATCCCTCCTGTTAATCTTCCCTCACGAGCAGCACCTGCTCTTTAGACAAGGCCCCAAGTTAAACCCCGACCTGGTTTAAGGTTGCAACCTCTTGAGCTGCAGCCCAAGCTCAAGTGACTCCAGTTCAGATTGATCCAAGGGGAAAAAAAAAAAATAAAAATCCCTTCCAGAGCTTAGCTAAGTTTGGCTTTTTTGGTTATTTGGGATTTTTTTTTTTTTTTAGGGGTGTTTTAGGTTTGGGACTTTTTGCAAGGAGAGCTCAGATTATGGAGTGCTCTCGCTGCTGGTTTATCCTGTTGGGTCTCAGGGGGCAAAACTAATGGGAAAAACGCTTAAACAGACCCAAAAATGAATGTTTTCCACGTTTTCTTGACGAGCAGCACCTGCTCTTTAGACAAGGCCCCAAGTTAAACCCCGACCTGGTTTAAGGTTGCAACCTCTTGAGCTGCAGCCCAAGCTCAAGTGACTCCAGATCAGATTGATCCAAGGGGAAAAAAAAAAAATAAAAATCCCTTCCAGAGCTTAGCTAAGTTTGGCTTTTTTGGTTATTTGGGATTTTTTTTTTTTTTAGGGGTGTTTTAGATTTGGGACTTTTTGCAAGGAGAGCTCAGATTATGGAGTGCTCTCGCTGCTGGTTTATCCTGTTGGGTCTCAGGGGGCAAAACTAATGGGAAAAACGCTTAAACAGACCCAAAAATGAATGTTTTCCACGTTTTCTTGCTCCCTAAAACTTCTGTAACTCCAAGAAACGAGGGCCTGGTGGCAGCCTGAGGACAATTCCCACTGATTCCACCCCAATTGTTATTAATTAAACAACACCAGAAGAGCAATCAGCCCCATCTCTCCCACACATCCCAGCTTTCCCTGGGAGCACCTGGCTGGAGCAGCTTCCCACTGGCAAGAAGGAGGGAAAAAAACCAAAATCTCAGGGAATGAGGTGAAAAGCAGGGGCTGGGAAGCTTGGGGAACGGAGGCAGCAGAAAAGGTGGGATTCAGGAGCAGAGTTTTAGGGGTGGATTCAGGAGCAGAGTTTTAGGGATGAGGAGCTGGGAGGGAGCCGTTTATGGGGCAGCAACAACGTTTCCACCCCCTGGCAGGGTTGGATATCCCTGCGCCCCCATCCACGGGCACAGCCACATCCCTAGGGATGGGACAGGGATATGGGGCCAGCCTCACCTTCCGCGTGCTGCCGCTCTTCGGGCCGTGCAGGAGGACAAGGCCACCGTCCCTGTCCCCATCCGGGCTCTCCTCCTCGGGGGGCATCATCTCCAGGGATGCGACATCCACAGGCTGGGAATGGGGGGCTGGAGCTGGGCTTGAGCTCACGGGGGGGTCTGGGGGCTCGGCCACCCCTCCTTGAGTCCCACCGGGGTCCAGATCCCAAGCCTGTCCTAAGTGGGGGGCTTAAACCCCTGCTAAGCCCGGCTCAGCTCTGTTGCAAAGCCCCCCTGCACTCAGCATCTGGCCAGATGTGAGCCCATGGCTTCCCTCCCAGCAGAAATAATTTAGGGAAAAGAGGGGACAAAAATCCCTTTCGCAAAGCTACCCCAGGAGGGGGGATGTTAAATCCCACCAGACCCTAAATGGGGGATGTTTAAACCCCCCAAAACCCGCTTGGAAGAGCTACTCTGGACAAAATAAAGAGGGTGTTTAAACCCCTCAGACTCCCCTAAAGAGGGGGGGGGTGTTTAAACCCCTCGGACTCCCCTAAATAGGGGGGGGGGGTATTTAAATCCCTATAAAAGTTACTCCAAATGGAATGGGGGGGGTTTTAAACAGAGACACCCAGAGTAGGGAGGGAGCCAAACCCTCTGAAAACCCCTTTACAGGGTTACCCCAAAATGGGGGCGAACCCCCCAAACTCCCTTTTAGAGCTATCCTAAATGGAGGGGGGGAAGTTTAAACCCTCCCAAAACCCCTTTTGTGAACTACCCAAAACACACGGAGCTCAAACCCGCCTCGAAGAGCGACCCCAGACGGGGCGAGGGGTTAAACCCCCCTCCCCTCACAGCGCAAACGCCCCCAAAACCCCCCTCACAAAGATGCTCCAGCCAAGGGGACCCCCCCAAACCTCCTTCCAGAGCCAAACCCCGCCGAGCTACAACTCCACGGCCCTTCCTCGCCCGGATCCCAACCCCGGGGTGCCCCGGGACCCTCCAGCCGTGGCCCCGCTCACCCCCGGTGCCCCCTCAGGCCCCGCCGCGACCGCGGCGGCTCCGCCGAGCGCGGGGGCATAAGCAGGGCGGAGGGGCGGGACTTAACCGCCAGGCAACCAATGAGAGCGCCGCGCGGCGTCGATGGACAGCGGTTCTGCCCAATAGAATTGGGAGAGGGAGGTGGAGGGGGAGGAGCGGAGGGGCCGTTGCCCGTGGCAACGGTGGGAATTAGAACGCGGGTGACGTCACGGAAGGCGGGGCTCCAGGCTCCGCCCACAGGCGCGGCGGGACTCGGGCCGCCCCTCCCGCTGCACATCTGGGGGGCTCCGACCCCGGCCCGGGCACATCTGGACGGCCCCCGACTCCAGCCAGGCCACGTGCCCCCATTCCAGCCCCGTCTGGGCCCGTCCCCGCTCCCTGCCTCACATCTGGGTGCTTGTATGTTCCTGCCCCGGCCACATCTGGGTGACCCCACCTACCACCAGGAGACCCCGCCCCCATCCCAGCCACATCTGGGCAACTCCTGCCCTCCCTCTCGCCCCTGGCCACATCTGGGCGGTCCCCCCCTCATTCTGCCCCTCCACCCCCCGGCTCCCCCCCTCCTCTCCTCAACATCTGGGCTGCTGTGCCCTTGCCCTGTTGCCTGTATAAACCATACTTTAATATGAAATGTAACGAAAAATTAATGAAGAAATAAAATAAAATCCGCTTTATTCCTTTTTGCAGGCAAATCCTGCCCCGTATTCCTGCTCTGAGCCTTTGTCACCGACCACAAGAGTCTTTACGTAAGCCGCAATGAAATTAGTGAGTGATAAACCCCATTCATATCCATGGGACACAGGGAATTCTGTGAGGATCCGGCTGCTTATTGGGTGGAAAATGTTAGCCCAGGATACACAAAATATTTTACAGGGTGTGAATTTGTTTTATAATTGCATTTATTAAGCCAGTTCCACCTTTCCCAGTTATTTTTTCTCATCAGGGCTTCAAGGGCTGTGTGATTCCAGTGAAGGGCTTCTCTCCCTCCAGGATTTTCCAATCCAAAAGGAACAGCTGTAGTAGAAAAGTGGAATTAATGATTAATCTGGAATATTTCATGGATACATCCCTCAAGAGCTGCTGTGGTGTCACCAAATCCCATTCCACTCTGGTGTTCCCCAAGGATGAGCCAAACCCGCTTTGTGCTCCAATTTTCCCGAGCACAGCTCCGGGTGGAGCTCCCATTCCAATTCCAGTTCAATTTTCCATTGCAAAGAGCATCCACGAAGGGGAAAATCCATAAAAATACACAAAAAGCTCAGCTTAATTTTAAATGGATTTATCCACCTTGTTCTTAGGTGGGATTGAGGAGCAAACTGGAGCTGCTCCAGGCTAAGACAAGTTTTTCCCAGCTCAAATCCCTGCAAAACCCATCTTTTCCCATGGTGGACATGGAGAAAGATGAGAAAATCTTACGGAATCCAGGGAAAAATGGGAGAAATTCAAACCCAAGCTCCAAGTCCTTGGAAGGAGGCGGACAAGGGTGAACAAGCCCCGGCCTGCAGTTGTCCTTCCCTGCTCCCTTCCCTGGGGCTGGCTCCCATCCCTGGACAACCTCCACTCATCCAGCCAGAAAGGTGGCTTGGATGTGTTTTTTTCCCCGGGATGGCGCAACAGGGATCAAAGAGGCTTTCCCACATTCCAGCCCTTCCTCCGGGGGTTTCCACTCCCGGCGGCGAACTGGGCGGGGCCTTCCCAAGGGAATTTGGGGTCCCCCGTCCTGGCTGGGGATTCCACATGGAGCAGTGCCCTTTATTGACCCAAATCCCTGAGTTTTCCTGGAATTGTGGGGATGGTTTGGGTTGGAATGGGCTCAAAAGGTCATCCAGTAAAGAGGGCAGGGAGACCTTGCGCTAGAACAGGTTGATCCAAGGCCTTGGACACTTCCAGGGATGGGGCAGCCACAACTTCTCTGGAAATTCCATTCCACGGCCTCACCACCCTCACAGCCAAGATTTCCTTCCCAATATCCCATCTAATTTGACCCTCTTCCTGTTTAAAGCCATTCCCTGTGTCCTGTTTCCCTCCATCCCTTGTCCCAAGTCCCTCTCCAGCTCTCCTGGAGCCCCTTTAGGCTCTGGAAAGGGGCTCTGAGCTCTCCCTGGATCCTTCTTTTCTCCCCTAATTTGGGGAAAGCTTTTTCCCATTATCCCTATTCCCCATCTAACTCCCAGGTGTGCTGCTCACACCTGGTTTGGGATGGATGAGGACATTGGGAAGCTCAGCTGGGATGAGGTTCTTGATGACCTCAAGGGCAGATTGGAAGCAATGGGCTCATCCTGTGAAAAGAGCTGGAGAGGAGTGGGATGGGCTTCAGGATGAGGGTTATGGGCTGTAGGATCCAGTGGGATCTGGGCTTTGTGCCCAGACCCTTTTACATCTAACCATGGAGCTCTGGTGAATGAGAATCAGCTGAGAAAAGATGGATTTGGGGAGTAATTTAATTATGTAATTGAAGAGGAAGTGTCTTCTGCCAAGTAGGTTTCTCCTGATTATTTTTAAATCCATATTTTTTACCCCCATTTCCCACCTGAGTGGTCCAAAGTATTTCCCTGCTTCCCAAGTCTCCTTGCTGAGGAGCTGCTGGTTGAGGGACATCAAAATTCAGTTTTTTGGGCTAAAACTTCATTTCCCAGGGTGCATCTTGGGCTGGGAGCCTCCAATCAGGCTGAGGGAGACATTAAAGGAGTTTCCTGGGAGAGGGGGGGACTTCCCTTAGGGAAGCAGGTGGGTGAGGAGTGAGTGTTCTCTAGGCTGGCTGGGATTGGGAATGTTCTCCTGTACCAACTGACCTTCATCCCAACTGCAGCTCCAAGTGCTCCTGGCACAGCAAAGCCTGGTAAAATATGGAGTTTTTCCAAGTGTTTTCTACTCTCAGAAAAATTTTCAGGATGTTTCAGACTGGTTTTCACTTACCTCCTTGAGAAATTCTAGGGGTTTTTTTTCCCTCAACATGGACGTTTTTCATGGGTGGGGACCAGGAATATGACCTGTATTCCTTGCATCCTCTTGAGTTTCTAGGGAAAACAGGGATTTGGGAGAGTCTGGCTGCTCCATGAGAAGAGGAGAGGGGAGAGGTGGTGGTGGGGACTCATTATCTGAATTTACCCCATTTCTCTGCTGTGCTTAATTATTATTAATTGTGGTGGTGGAAACTGTGAATTCCTAAACTAATTTAGGGAATTTCCTTTTTTTCCTTTTATTGCCATTTATTTTGCCACCTCCAACAGAAGTTCAGGGGCTGAGCTTAAGTTTTTTCAACATGGGTCTAAAGCTGAGCTTGACCCTGTGGGCTCCAAACTTTGGGACTGAGCTGTTGGGGTTTCCTTGGAGAGCAGAACTGGGGTGGCACCAACCGTGTGCTGTTTCCATCTCATTCCAGTGACCATCCTTGGATTCTCTGCCTTAGCACTCCCAGGAAATTGTGGATGACGGAGCCATGGGGGTGTCAGAGGCCAGTGAGGTGAAGAGCAGCAGCAGGTAGGTACCGTGGAGCACGGCATGGTAATTTTGTGGGGCTCCAGCTTTGTTACCCCACTGGTTTTCCTGGGAATTTCACACTCAAGAAGAGAAATTCCTCCAGAATTCCTTTTGGGAAGCAATATTTGGTGTTGCTGGGCATAAGGATTAGGAAGTATGGCATCATGCCATGGTTTGTGGTTACCACCAAGGGGATGGTTTCATTGGGATCAATTCTTCCTTATCCCAGGAAGCGAAAGAATGAGTTGGAAAGGGAGCAGGACAAGCCAAAGGTGTTCCCGGTGCAGAAGGAGCTGGAATGCACAGTGAAGGTACCACACCCCCCTCTGTGCTTTGGGGTGGCCCTTGTAATTATCCCAGAAATTCAGTGGGAATCAAACCCGTGGCACAAACTTCCTTTTCCCTGATCCTGCTCTGTCCTGGTGTGAAGCCTTCCGTGGTAAAAGGGAAGAAGAAGAAGAAACCATCAAAAGCCAAGGAAAAGCCGCTGCAGGAGAACATCATCACCAGGTCGGTGGGATTGGGATGGAGATGGGATCTGCAGGGCTGGGCTTTTCCATCTGGGTTATCCCAGAGTTGTGCATGGGAATGCCACGTCCAGCTCTCCTTTCCTTGCATTGCTTTGATTATCCAAAGGAATTTTTAGTAGGGAAAAATAAAGGGAATGAAGTGACGGGAAAAGGGGAATCACCTTAAGCTGAAGGATGGAAGGTTTAGACTGGATATTAGGAAGGAATTCTTCCCTGGGAGGGTGGTGAGCCCCTGGAAGGTGTTTCCCAAAGCAGCTGTGTCTGACCCATCCCTAGAATGTCCAAGGCCCAGTTGGGTGGAGCGTGGAAAAGCCTGGAATAGCGGAAGGTGTCCCTGCCCATGGAAGCAGCTTGGAACAACATGATTCCTTCCAACCCAAACCATTCCATGATCCTAAAATATGTGTGTGTCCCTTCTCTCCCATTTCTGGCCAAGAAGCTCCCTGAAGCAGGAGGCTGCAGATGGGAAAGGCCTTGGCTCGAGCCTCTGGAATGGGATCCAAGCCGAGGAGGGAGCTGCACCGGGGTCGGTACGTGGTGGTCGCTGTGCTGGAGGATTGGGGAGCATTCCTGTGGTTTGTTCCCAAGGGAATTGGGAGGGTTCTGTCTTGTAGTTTGGTGCAAGCCCCTGGAAGGAGCTTTTGAGCATCTGGAATTAAATTAAGGAGTAAATCTCCAGCTTTTGGGGTTGAATACATGACATTTTGGTGGCACCAGTGGGGAGCACCAGGATGTGGGTGACTCACTTCCTAAGCAGGAGGTTGGGATTGGGAATCTCTTCCTCAGGAATTTGGTTTTCAGTGCTTTCCTTGATCGTGCCCCCCTGGAAGTGTCCAAGGCCAGGTTGGATGTGGCTCAGAGCAACCTGGGATTGTGGAAGGCGGTGGTGAAATTAGATGATCCTTAAGATTCTTTCCATCCCAAACCATTCCATGATCCTTTCCTGGTGCTGGGGAGCACAAATCCCAGCAAATCCCCTCTATATTTTGCTTTTCTTGTGTTAATTTGTCTTCTTGGTGTGTAAACCCAGCGGAGATGCTTTTCCTTTTTCCTTCTTTCCATCCCTCTCAGAAACAGGATCCCAAATGTCCCCAAACTCTCCTGGATGGATCAAATTCAAGGAGCAGCCTTGAAACCTCCCAAGGGTGCCTGTAGTCCTGGGTCTTCCTGGCATTCCCAATACAACCACCAGGCATTTGCAGGCAGGAATGACTGTGGAAGGTCATGGCTCTTCCTGAATTTCCCAGCAGGCTTTCTGAAGGATTGTGAATCCAAGAGCAGGCGTGTTCCCAGGGAATGAAAGTTTATGTGGACCTAACCAACCTGTAATTAACTCAGGGTTTTATTTTCCCCTTAATGAGTTCACCCAGCAGCTTTCAGGAGAAATCCCTGTGTGGTTTTGGCTTCCCTTGAAAGCCTTGGGAAGAGAAACTTGGGGAAGTCGGGATTTAGAGTGAGAATCTCAGTGCTTGGCAAGCCCTGGATGAGGTTGGGATGAGTTTTGGGATGCCTTGTGTTGTCAGGAGCAGGAAAAGATGGTTCCAGCTTGGAAAACAAGTGTAAAAACAGCAGGATGGAACTTCTGGTGGCCTCCAAGGGACAGAATTTAGGGTTCTGTGTCCTCTACAAGCTCGGTTTCTTTTAGGTCCCCATTTATATTTTGACTTTTTTTTTCCATTCTCCAGGATTTGGTGGCCTCCATGGGTCACATTTTAGGGCTCTGTATCCCCTCTGAGCTCATTTTCTTTTAGGTCCCCACTCTCCCTATATTTTGATGGGTTTTTTTCTGTTCTCCAAGATTTCTAGTGGCCTTCATGGGTCACGTTTTAGGGCTCTGTGTCCCCTCTGAGCTGTTTTAGCTTTTGAAAATTTTCTTATAGGTCCCCATTTTCCCTATATTTTGAAGTTTGGTTTTTTTGTGTTCTTTTTTCTTCAGGATTTCTGGTGGCCTCCATGGGTCAGATTTTAGGGATCCCTTTGTGTCTCCTCTGAGCTCATTTTCTTTAAGCTGCTATCCCTATTTTCTATATATTTTATATTTTTTTTCCTTTCTTTAGGACTTTTAGTGGCCTCCAGGAGTCAGGTTTTAAGGATCTATTTGTGTCCCCTCTGAGCTCATTTCCTTTTAGCTCCTATCCCCATTTTTTGTATTTTTTTTTTTCTTTTTCCTTGCTTTCTGCTCATCCTTATTGTATTTCCCACCCTGTGGCTTTGCTCCCCACCTCTCTTTCCCTCTTGCCATCTGCTGCAAGGGTGACTTCATCTTCCAGGCACCTGGAATTTGATCCATCTTTATTTTGGAGCCCTCCCATCCCTTCTGTTCCCTGCACTGCTCTCCCAGCAGTGCTTCCAATGAGCAGGTGGTTGAGGAGGGCTGGGAGTTTTCCTGTCTTTATCTGTAAAATTCCTTTATTGTGCTGTTGGAAGGAAACCAGGGATTTCCTAATGCCATAAAACCTCAAAACTTGGGAAAACCTGGTATTTTGGGTTCCTGGATTCTAGCCAAGGGGACTGAGGGAGGGAAAAGTGCTGGTTTGGGGGTGATGCTGCTTTGGGGTACCTGTGCCAAGGAACCTTTCCCAAATCCCTGATATTTTCTAGGAGGAAACCAAAGCAACCTCCTCTGAAGGGCCAGCAGTGGGGCTGGAAGGCTCTTCCAGGTGAGTTGGGTCATTTTTTGGATTTTCTTTGGATTTTCTTCCAGGCAAAACTGGAATTTTGTCCTTTTTCTTCTCTTCTCTGTGGAGCTGTGCAATCCTGGTTTTCCCTCCTGGATTGCTGGTGCCTTCCCAGAGCAGCTTCTCCACATCCCGGTGTTTTCAATGACTTCAAAGCTTTCCAAAACCAATCCCAAGTGGAATTTGAGGCTCAGTCCTGGGATCTGAGGGTAGAGAGGGAAGTTCCAGCCCCATCCACCCTCCCCGGTCAGCAGGGTGTGATTGCTCAGGTGCACATTCCTACATAAATTTGGGGAAAGTCCTGGTAGGAACAACCACCCTCCCAAATCCTGGCTGTTCTTTCCCTCTAGATCTTGGCAGAGATAGGAAGCAGAGTTCCTAAAGCTGGTTAATCCTCTCTGCCTCTTAAAAATTCCCAGTGAGAGGCCTCTAATAAAACCTTTGGAGGAAGGAGCTGATCCCGAAAGGTGCTGGAATTTTGCCTTCTGACTCATGGATCTGCTCCCTGCCAATGGGATTGGAGGTGCTGAGCATGTTTTGCAGGATGATTTTCCCTAACGAGTTTAGTGGGATTGTGTAACAGTGAGGAAAAAGAATCTGGCTTCTGGTTTTTGGTTGGTTTTTTTTTTTTTTTTTTTTTTTTTTTTTTTTTTTTTTTTTCTGAACTTGTTTCCATCCCAAGCCAGCTCGAAGGTTTTCCTTGCTTTGATGCCCCACAGCCTGGTAATTATCTGCCTAGATTAATTTATGGAAAGGGGCCAAAATTCACGCTTTCTGTTGCATAAATTTTGGCGTATTTTGGCTAAAAACAGGAATTGTGACTTTTCTCTATTTGGAAGTCCAGGAAGAGTGATCATTGTCCTGCTTGGGAGGAGAAAACTGGATTTCCAACTCTTTTTTTGGGAAGGATCAGAGCCACTGGCTGTACTTCCTAAGGGATCCTGCTGCAGGATCCAGGAGCTGAAAAAAGCAGGGAATGGATCTGAAGCAGGGAAAAATCTGTGGCTTGAGCTTAGCTGCAGGCTTAGCTAGGATGGACCAGAGGATTTGTCTGGGAGGTGGCAATGACCCATAAGGGAAGGCCCCAGGTTTCCCTGTGGGAAAGGGACACCATTACCTCAACATTAAACTCATGGAATTCTGAGGGTTGGGAAAAATATCCAAGATCACTATTAAACTATGTCCCAAAGCACCACATCCACAGGGTTTTGGAATACTTCAATGGATGGTGATCCCACCTGGACAGCTTCTTCTGGTGCTTGACCACTCTTTCAGTGAGGAATTTTTTCCTAATACCTCACCTAAATCCACTCTTTGGAGCTTTAGGCTCAGCCTAGGAGCCAAAAGCTTGGTTTAGGCTCTGCTGCTGTTTGCTCATTCTTATTTTATTTGATTTTTTTGGAATATGAACGCCTTGAAGACTCGCAACTCCCTGCCTAGCTCTAAGAAGCCTTGGGAGAAATTATAGGGGCAGGTTGGTGCTTTATGAGGGTTGCAAATCCCACAGAATCCCCAAAAATTCACCTGAGCTCTTCTGCTGAGCAGGGAAGGACTCCTGGATTCCTCACCCATATGGATGGTGGAGATCATGGATCTGGACACTCCTTGTCCTGTTGTATTGATGAGGCTCCGTCCCTGCCCATTCCCCACTGGAATCATCTCCACTGTCCCAGGAATTGTGTCCCATCTGTCTCCTTTTCCAGTGTGCCCATGATTGGCCTGATCCCTTTCTTTGTGCTATTGGTACTGCCAAACCTTTCCGCCTGAGGTTTCTCTGGGAATATTTCCTTAGGATCTCCCCTATTTTGTCTGGAGACCTTGTGGTTCTGCTCCTTTGAGCTTCCTCATCCCATAAAATCCAGCTTGGGGTCATTCCCTGCTGCCTTGGGATATCTCCATCCATGGTGCTGTCGTGGTTGGAGGGAAATGAGGGAGCAATTCCCTAATTTGGGATGGAATAGGGGAATGCTGGTGGTGAGGATTGGCTGTGATGTCGTTGTAGGTCCCAGGACAAATCCCAGAGAACAGGACCTGCAGTGGGAGAGGAACTCTTGGACACCCAGAGTGGAATTGGGGTAGGAAAACTGGGGGGAACGTCACCCCCTGGACCTGATCCTGTGTCCTCCACCATTCACTTGGGATTAGGGATAACTTCTCTGCTGCAGTGGGAGAGGAACTCTTGGACACCCAGAGTGGAATTGGGGTAGGAAAACTGGGGGGGAACATCACCCCCTGGACCTGATCCTGCGTCCTCCACCATTCACTTGGGATTTGGGATAAACTCTCTCCTTTCCCAACATCTCTTCCCTTTATTCCTGCTTCCCACAGGTCCCAAGTGAAAGTATTGCTGGTGGGATTGCATCCCCCTCTGGAGATCCTTTGGAGTGGGATGTGGAGCTCACAGCTGTCAGGGAGAGTGAGGAGAAGGAGCTGGATCCCCCTCTCCCACAGCAGGAAGAGGATTCCCAAGCCCCAGAAAGAAAAAGGGGGAAGAAACAGGAGGAAAATAAGCAGGAAAAGGGATTGGAGAGAAAAAGAGGGAAAAAACATGAGGAAAACAAGCAGGAAAAAAAGAGAAAAGGAGGGAAGAAACAGGAGGAAAATAAGCAAGAAATGAGACTGAAGAGAAAGAGAGGGAGGAAGGATAAATTTGAGGATTTGATGAATGGAATTGAGGAAGAAGAGGGAGATGAAGGCAGGAATTGGGAAGGGGGACAGGGAAGAGCCAAAAGACAGAGAAGCAACAGCAGCCAGGGATGGGATGATGGGAAAAAAAAGCGGGAGAAGGGGAAAGCAAAGAAGCACAGCAGGGGGAAAGTGAAGGGGGTGGAAAAGGTGGGGAAGAGGAAAATGAAGAAGGAAAAATTGCTGGAAAAGGAGCAGGAGATGGAGAAAGATGAGGAGAGAGAGAAAGGAGTGGGAGGTGAGGAGGAGGAGGAAAAGGAGGGAAAGGGAAGTGGAGATGGAAAAGGAGTAAAGGAGGAGGAAGAGGTGGATAAGAAAGGGGAGGAAGGATTGGGAGAGACTAGGAGTGCAGGGATGGGGCAGCAGGTGAAGGAGGACAAGGATGAAGGAAAGGGAGATATTCTAGGGAAAGAGAAAAAGAGGAAAAAGAAGAAAAAGCCTGAGGGGGAAACAAAAGAGATGGAGAAAAAGATTGAAGAGGAAGAAACCCCAGGGAAGACTGGGAAAAGGAAATCTAAGGAAGGAGAAGAAAAGAAAGAGGAAGAAAAGAACAAAAGAAAGACTAAGAAACAGAAGGAAGAAAAAGAGGCAGAAAACAAATGGAAATGGTAAATTCCAGCATGCCTTTGGCAGGTTTAACCCTGGGTCTGGGATTTTAATTTTATTTTGTGGGGCAAAACAGTGAAAATTCTTATGTTTTGGCTATTTTCCTGTATTCCCTTGAGCCTTGAACTCGCCACTCTTGGAAATGGGTGAGAGATCAGAGAAGGTCCTGAATGCACAGCAGGATTTGTATCATAATTATTTTTACTTCAAAATTTATTTGTAATATTTATTTCTCCTCCAATGATTTTCCTGGTGCCCATACTGGGAAGGGAGAAGCTCATAATTACTGGAAGGAAATAACAATAATAATAACAATAATAATAACAACAATAATAATAATAATAAAAGTCCAAGACAGCAGCACCTCTATCAGGGAGGTGTAGCGGGTCTGAATTTCTTCCCCACTTCCTTCTCCAGCAGATTTGGGATGATCCAGGCAGGTATTTTATAGGAAAGGATGTGGAATGTGGCTGCTGGATGCTGGATTATTTTTTGGAAGTGTGACTTCAGCCACTTGGTGTCACTCTCTCCCAGATCTCGCCAAGATCTGGGACAGCGGGAGAATTTTTGGGATGCTTTTTCGGAGCCTGTGCAAACCCTGATCTGGGAGGAGCTGTTATCCCAGACAGGGATATCCCTGGATACCTGGAGCTTTGAGGTGGCTCTTGAAGGATCCAGGGTGATGTGAAAAGTGGGATTTTATAATTTTTTTTTTCCTAATTTATGCCTTGTTTGAAATGACTGGATCCCAGCCGGTATCTGGGAATTCAATCCCAGAAAATTATCCACAACTACATTTCCCATGAGGACATTCCCAAGTGTCCAAGTGTCACCCTCCATGGGCTTGTGGGGGCCGTGCAAGGTGAGTGTTGGGGATGCTCTGCAGGGATTTGGGATCTCAGAATTTTGGGAAGAGAGATTATCACAAAATGATCCTGATGCTGCCTTTCTCCGATGCTTTCAGCCCAAATTCCTGGAGTTTGTTGATTTTCCTCGACTGTTTGGTTTCCTCTGTTTTTATGGCAAAATGCACCTTTGAATACCATGGATTTATTCCACTCTGCTTCCCATGGGGAGGAAAAAAAAAATCACAAATAACTTCTGGGGCACTGCTGAGTGAGAAACAGGAATTTTTCTTTCTCTGTGTAGAACCTTGCTGTTTTTCCAGAAATCCTTGGTTTTTCTTTTCCTGGAGATGCTGGGATTAAGGGGCCAGTGCCAGCCTGGCTGTGGGACACAGATCCCTGTCTGTTCCCTGCTGGCACCAGTGCTTTTCCTCTGACCCTAACCCCTGGTTTTACCCCTCTATTTAGAGTCCTGCTCCTGCTTTTCCGGTTGGATTTTTTGACTTTTTTTTTTTAAATTTAATTTTACCGTAATTTTTGTTGCTGTTTTTTAAATCCTCACAGTCAAAACTTGTAGTGGCTTTAAAATCCCATTTACTTTGGCAGGGGGAAAGGTTCCTTAAGATCTTATTCACGTTAAAATCAAAGTTATAAATATTTATGAGGCATAGGTTCCACAGGGAAGCCCTGGCTGCCCCATCCCTGGAAGCATTCCTTGGATTGGGTGGGGTTTGGAGCAAACTGGATTAGTGGAAGGTGTGCCTGCACATGGAAAGGGGTTGGAATGAGGTGGCTTTTAAGATCACTTTACCCTCCCACTGAGTTCCTCCATGTCACCACACCTCAATTTCATGGATTCCATTCCAGTTTTCCTTGTTTTAAAGAGCAGGGAAACTGAGGCAGCAGCAGAGAAGATGGGATTTCACCTGGAGTTTGCACCAGCTGTCACTGCTCCAAGCATTCTCCCAGTTTGACCTTGGAAGAAGGTGCCAGATGCCAGATTTGGGATATTCTCATGGACTCCTGTGTGTCTGTTCCAGGTGGGAAGAGGAGAAGAAGGAAGATGGAGTCAAGTGGATGCAGCTGGAGCACCGAGGGCCCTACTTTGTGCCCCCCTACGAGCCCCTGCCCAAGGATGTGCAGTTTTATTACGACGGTACAGCTGTGATGGGACCTGGGGCTTGGGGTGGTGTCCTCTCCTTAGGGAAGATGAATATCCCATTGGAAAAGCCATGGGTTCAAGCTGGAGGATCTTGCACATGGTTGGAGTTACGGGGGTTTTTGGGGAGCTAAAACTAATTGCTGTTTTTAATCATTAAGCTGCATGTTGGGTTTGGGCTTTGTCAGCTCATCCATGTTTTCCCACGAGCTGGAAAAATGGGATTTTACTGATCCATGGCCTCAGGGACTGACACATCCAAGGGTTTGGCTGGGCTTCTCCAAGTTTCTGATGTCCCAAGGGCCACCTCACATCACCTTAGAGCAACTCAGGGTGCCACTGGCAGGACAGATCCAGGCCTTTGCTGCCTCCGTGTTTTCCTGACATTCCCACTGGGTTTCCTGCCATTCCCTGCTCTCAGTTCATCCCTGAACTCATTTCTGATGGACCAAAGGGAGGGGGAAATAAGGACATTGGGGGTCAGCCAAGGGATGCTGGAGATGGAAAGGGATCACATTCCCTTGGTGTTCCTCAATTCCCCGGGCCTTCCCATACTTTTTTTTGCAGTAGGAAAAATGCCACTTTGGGAAAAGGAAGTGCCTGTCAGCACCAGTGGGACATCCATGGGGCTGCCAGGGATTTTGGCTCCATGAGGAGGAGCCTTGAACAGGGTTTGGAGCTTCTCTGTGATCTTTGAGGTGTTGTGGATCTGGGCTGGCGGCTTTGGAATTTGGGATCTTTGATGTTGACTTTTTTTCCTAAAAAATGTCACCATTCCTGGATGGAAAAGTGTGGACAGGCAACAACCCCAAGTAGGAAGGGCCCATGGATGAGCTGATTTGGGGGTTGTCAAGGGGCTGCTCCAGGGCTCCATTTCCTTCAGTCAAAAAATCCCAAAAACCAGTGGTTCAAGTAGGATTCAACCATTCTTTGGACATCTCCAGAGGACTTTTTCCTTAAAAAAAAAATAATTTCCAAGTAATTCCTAGGATGAACCAAGATATTCCTTGGTTTTGTTTTATTTCTCCAGCCAAAGAGCTCGGGAGGCGATGGTGGCTTTGCCTCCAAGAAATTATTCAAGATCCTTAGAAAATCTAAGAAATAATCCAAGATTCTGCCCAGAAAAGCCATGGCTGCCCCATCCCTGGAAGTCTTCCAGGTTGGACAGGGCTTGGAGCAGCCTGGTCTAGAGGAAGGTGTTCCTGCCTCTTTTTTCCCAGGAAAACCATTGAAGCTGAGCCTGGCCACGGAGGAAATTGCCACATTTTATGCCAAAATGTTGGATCATGAGTATACCACCAAGGAAACCTTCCAGAACAACTTCTTCCATGACTGGAGGAAGGTACCTTCCCTGGGAGGGCTCCTTAATATCCATCAAACCCATCAGCCCCAGGCTTTGGTGTGGGATGGAGGGAATGGGGGAATTTGTTCCTTATTTATAATTATCAGGTCTAAATCCTGATTTATTTCCGTGGGTTTTTTTGTGGGTTTAGGCTGGGATTTGCTTTCTGTGCTCCCTCTGAATTTTAGTGATGGGATCTTGCAAACAATCTTGCAAACGGCTCCAAACCCATTTTGGGACACCAAAGGAATAAAGGAATGACCTCTGATCCCAAAACAACCCCAAACTCTTTCTCAGTAATGTTTACACCTCCCAGATTGATTTGGTGCTGTCCCTGCGGTTGTGTTTGGAGACTTTTTTTCCATACTAGGTTCTTCCATCCCAAAACTGTTGTTTTTTCAAAGAATGGGTCTCTATTCCCTTTTCTAAGGACAGGTACAATCAGCAGCTCCATGTGGAATTAGTTTTGCCTCCTGGCTTTTCCCAGCCCCTCTCATCTCTTTCCCAGGAAATGACCTCAGAGGAGCAAGAGATAATCAAGGACCTGGACAAATGTGACTTCGGGGAGATCCACAAATATTTTGTGGACAAAAATGAGGCCCGGAAAGCGCTTCCCAAGGAGGAGAAGCAGGTGAGGACTGGTTCCTATGACAGGTTTTGGGAATTTTGTCTCTTTGTTGTTGTCTTCCTGGTGTTGTGCCCTGAGCTTGGACTTCTTTAATCCAGCTCTCTCTCCATGGCCATCGCCCCCCTCTTCGTGAATTTTATCAGCAGATCTGCACATTCCATGGCTTTGCAGGGTGCCAGTCATCCTTGGATCATGTTTTGGAGTCCTTCCCTGTCCAGAGGATTGTAGACTTTGCCAAGGGAATGATGGCACTTTGAATTCTTGGTTGGAATGTTAAAGATCCTTTCCAATCCAAACCATTCTGATTTTTTTTTTTTTTTTTTGGTGGTATCCTGGTTTCAGAAGCTGAAGGAGGAGGCGGATAAGATCCAGGAGGAATATGGATACTGCATCCTGGATGGGCACCGGGAGAAGATTGGCAACTTCAAAACTGAACCTCCAGGGCTCTTCCGTGGCCGTGGGGAGCACCCCAAAATGGGGATGCTGAAGAAGAGGATCATGCCAGAAGATGTCATCATCAACTGCAGCAAGTGGGTTGTCCTTGGAAGTGCTGAGCTCCTGGGGCTTCCCTTGGGACTGGGGGGAACTGGGTGCTTCCTCTGCCCAGAGCTGGGATCTTTCCATCTTCTAAAATCCCTGTTTTCCACATCCTGAGAGTGTTTTTCCATCTGAGTTAAGTGAGCTGGAGTGGTCTTCGCCCCCCATTTGAAGACCTTGATTCATGTAATTCCCTACCAGTCTAGCAAGTTTTCCTGTTGTTCCCAGCATCCAAGTTATAAATACCTGATTTTTGGAAGGGTCTGGAGCACCAGGAGCAGCTGAGAGAGCTGGAGGGGCTCAGCCTGGAGAAAAGGAGGCTGGGGGGGACCTTTTAAAACTCCCTGACAGGAGGGTGGAGCCACATAGGGCTTGGTTTCTTCTTCCAGGAAAAAAAAAAAAAAAGAGAAAAAGATAGAAGAAGAGGAAATGTCCTCAAGTTGTGGGAGAGGAGGTTTAGGTTGGATATTAGGGAAAACTTCTCCACATAAAGGATTGTCAAGGACTGGAAGGGGCTGTCGAGGGCAGTGGTGGAGTCACCAGCCTTGCAGGGGTGTGAAAACTGTGTAGATATGGCACTTGGGGACATGGTTTGGCACTCCTGGCAGCACCGGTTCATGATTGGACTCGGTCTTGGAGGAGTTTTCCAACTTCAGTGATTCCATGTTGTGGAGTAATTCTAGGTGGATTCCGTGTTTTCTCAATCTTTGGCTCACTGGAAACTTCATTCTTCATGGTCTGAGGGCTCTAATCCCGCTCTTCCCACAGGGATTCCAAGATTCCCGAGCCCCCAGAAGGTCACAAGTGGAAGGAGGTGCGCTTTGACAACACGGTCACCTGGCTGGCCTCGTGGACAGAGAACATCCAGAACACCTTGAAGTACATCATGCTGAATCCCAGCTCCAAGCTGAAGGTGGGAATAATGCCGTTGGTCAGGTGAAAAAAAAATCTGGGAAAGCCAGGATGTGGAGTATCAAAAAAATTATTTTTGTTTCTTTCTTGCCCTTCTCTTAAAAGTGGATAAATAAAATGAGGGAAGGGGCAGATGATTGTGAAGCATCAAACTTATTCCAAGGAATGGGTTGCTCCTGGCAGAGTGATCCTGGTGCCACGTTGCTCATGTGTGTCCAGGGAAGGCTGTTGGGAGCCACATGGGGGCTGAAAGGATCCACAGGGGCTAAGAAGATCCACAGGGACCAGAGTTGGGTTAATTTATACCAGGAAGTGGAGGGTAGGAAGAGATGGGATTGAACTCTGTGGGAAGAGAAAGGGGATTTAAGGCTGTTTCCGAGGGCTCAGGGAAAGTGGGAATGCTGCCCAGGTGGACACAACTGAGCAAATGCTGTGTCAGTCCACATTTTGGTGGACTTTGGTGCCCAAGGAGCCACCTTTGGCCGTGGTTTGACCACTTGGTCCTTGCCGTGCTCTGACTGGTGAAGAACACTCTGATTTGGCCAGGATCCAGATCCAGCACGGCCAGCAGAGGGCACAGAAACCTTGGATGAGCTGTTTCTTTTCCAGTTTATTCCCTTCATGAGTTTTTCCCAAGAAAACAGTGGGGTTTGAGCAGGATTTAGATGCTGGAGGTGTTTCTACAGCAGGACTTGACTGGTATGGGTGGTATAAAGATGGGGCACGGAATGGAAAATATCCTTGTTTCCCATTCCAGGGGGAGAAGGATTGGCAGAAATATGAGGTAGCTCGGCGCCTAAAGGATGTTGTCCACACAATCCGGGCTCAGTACAGGAAGGACTGGAAATCCAAGGAGATAAAGAAGCGGCAAAGAGCAGTGGCCCTCTACTTCATTGATAAGGTATCCACAGCCTCACCCCAGGTCCTCCATCCACGTGGAAGTTGGGAATTCACTTCCCTGATCCACCCCACCGTGTAGTTTTTGGTGTTTGCTGGGTCTGCCATCCAGGGTGGCTCCGCATGAGGAATCTGGGGATGATTATTATGAATCCTGGAATGGTTTGGTGTGCTGGGACCTTCAAGATCATCTCATTTGAACACCCTGCCTTGGAAAGGGACACCTTCCACTTGGCCAGGTGGCTCCAAGCCCCATCCAGCCTGGATTTAAATATTTCCAGAGGTGTGGAAAATGAAAATTTTCCCTAGTGGAAGGTGTCCCCGCCCATAGCAGGGGGTTGGAATTTGATGATCCTGAAGATCCCTTCCAAATCATTCTATGAATCTATAGATGGAGAGGATCCATCTCCTCTAGTCCCGATCCACTTTAACAACCTGGCAAAGGGGAATTGAGGTGGAATGGCACGGGATGGATGACTCCTTATTTTCTTTCCAGCTGGCCCTGCGAGCTGGGAATGAGAAGGAGGAAGGGGAGACTGCGGACACGGTCGGCTGCTGCTCCCTGCGCGTGGAGCACATCCAGCTGCACCCCCAGCTGGATGGGCAGGAGCACGTGGTGGAATTCGACTTCCTCGGGAAAGACTCCATCCGTTACTACAACAAAGTGTCCGTGGAGAAGCCAGTGAGTGGGGCAGGAGTAGAGGAAGTGCTTGGTTGTCTGTTCCCTCAGTGTTTATCAGTCCCAAATTTCCATCCAAAACCTGTTACCAAGATGTGCTTTAACCCAGGAGAACGGGAAAAATTTTGGGGTAGGGCTTCCAAGGTTGTTCTGCTTCATGAGGGAGAAGTTCCACCTCTTGCTGGAGCATCCTCAGTTGGCTGATGCGCATCAGGACTTGGAATGTCTCCATTTATATTAAATAATTTTCCTTTGTCCATGGGAAAAATAATTTAATGGTGTTTGTGGAGAAACTGGAATGTCGGAGATGGGAAAGATGGGGGGGAACACCCAGTGGCATCTTGAAGTTGAGAAGGTTGGTGGGATGAGCTAACACGAGGGTGAATCAGAGTCCTTCTGGAGGAGGAGAGATGAGGGAGATGTCTGGGAGCAGTTCATTCCTTGGCCCTGACCAGGGTTGTCCTTTCCCCCTCTTCAGGTGTTCAAGAACCTGCAGCTGTTCATGAAGAACAAGGACCCCAGCGATGACCTCTTTGACCACCTCAATGTGAGTTGTCACCTGGAAGCTTTTCAAACAGTACTGGTGGCCCTGAAGGAGGAGAAGCCAAACCGTGACACCCTTGGCCACCTTTGCTGGGCATCCCTTCAACTTTTTTTACCTCTCTGCTCTCTGGGGACACCAGTGTCACTGTTTGAACACCCCGTGAGGTTTTCCAGCCTCTTTTTGCACTGGAGTATCTCCACTTCCATGTATCCCTGCTGAGGAGCTGAATTCCTGCTCCTTCCCTCCTCCAGCTCCCCATTTGGGCTTTTTTTAGGCTGGGAATGTCTGCCCACATTCTGGGGAATTACTGGAGGTACCAGACCTCAGCTTTTTCATGCTTTTGCACCTCATTAGGGCTCTACACAAGTGGGAGAGGTTGCTGGAGGGATGTGCTGCCTTCCCTCCTGGAAATACTTCCTCCCTCATCTTCCTTGGGATGGGATATGGGATGGATGAGCAGCTCCATGTTCTCTGTAGAACAGGGACATGATATTGGATGTGAGGTCAGGAATGATTGTTTGTTAAAGATCTCTGAGATCATCAAATCCAAACATTAACCCAGCACTGCCAGGTCCACCACTAAACCACATCCCCAGTGTGTCCTCTTGGACATAGGTGGGAAGAAATTATTGCCTTATAGAGATTTTTTTTGTGGATTTAGGTGGAATTTTAGGCCAGTTTTGGGTTGCTGATGACCTGGCCCCACAAGTAGCTCTACAAACTGCAGTACTTAACTTTTTGTTAATGCCTAATTTTGGTTGCTTAAGCAGAAGATGGTCGAAAAAGAGATATGTCCCAGCTTCTGCTTGTCCTATTACTTTGTGGAATCATGGAATGGTTTGGGTAGGAAGGGACCCTAAAGACTGTCAAGTTCCAAATCCCTGCCATGGGCAGGGACACCTTCCACTATCCCAGGTTGCTCCAAGCTCCATCCAACCTGGCCTTGAACAATTGCAAGGATGGAGCAGCCACAGCTTCTGTGGGAATTCCATTCCAGAGCTCACCAGCCTCACAGGGAAGAATTCCTTCCCAATATCCCATCAAACCCTTTGTCAGTTTGAAGCCGTTCCTCCTTGTCCTACCAGTAGAATTCCTAATGTGAATTTCCCTACATTTTCCCCTGTTTTTCCCTCCTCCAGACGACCTTCCTGAACAAACACCTCCAGGACCTCATGGATGGTTTGACAGCCAAAGTCTTCAGGACCTACAATGCTTCCATCACCCTGCAAGAGCAGCTCAAGGCCCTCACCAACCGTGAGTGCCAGGGCTTATGGTGGGACCAAAAGGCTCAGGAATGTCCATCCATTGCCTTGGGATCCCTAAAAAAATGCCCATGTCCCACCTGGGTAGGCGATGCTCCACAGAGGGGTGGGAGAGACATATGAGGGTGAGCAGCAAGTCGGGGATGTTGATGAGTGGAAAGTGGTGAACTCAGGGGTACTCTGACTAACTGATGGCCAGGATGGGAATGTTTTTCCCTCTTTTCCTTGTGTTGCTGGTTGGCTGCACTATTTCTGCCTCCTTGGATACGTGAGGGATGAGTCACAGCACCAATTTGTGATGCTCAATTGTCCTTCCCCAATTCCCACAACCATTATTGCTCTCCCTGGAGAGAGAATGCAACAACAACCTGTATGCCTTTGCTTCTGCTGTATTCCCTGCTTTTCCCAACTCCTGGAATGGAGTCAGAGCGATCTTTTAATTTCTTTCCAGCTGAAGACAACGTTGCAGGAAAGCTCCTGTCCTACAACCGAGCCAACAGGGCCGTGGCCATCCTCTGCAACCATCAGAGGTCTATTCCAAAAACCTTTGCCAGGTCCATGCAAGTCCTCCAGGAAAAGGTGAGACAGACCAGCTGAGAGATCCCAGACCTAATTCGGCCTCTGAATTTTATTTTTGGGCGGGGGTGATGCCTGAAGGAATCCGCTTGGTCAAGAACATCAGGGAATGTCCTGGGAGTAGTGGATTGCAACCCAGGGGTGGAGAGGGATGTGGTGACCTCAGATGCTGGGGAAAGCAACTTGGCACAGAATTTGGGTGAGTTTTTATGGGTTTGGGGCATTTTTCATCACTCTCTCTTCAAACGAAGCTGGAGGCCTTTTGTGATGGTAGCTCTGGCCCAGTAGGATTGAGATCAGGAAAAGTGTTTTTCCTGTCTTTTTGCAGGAGGAGCAGCTTGAAAATACTTTAAGTTACCACTTCTAATTGTCGTCAGTTTTTGCTCACACCCCCTGAAGGCTGGGACTTCTCTGAGCACTTCTGGTGCTGTCACAAGTCCCTCTACACAAGGCAGGTGCAGAAGATGGACAGATTTAGGAGCTCCAGGTGTTTGTGACATCTGGGCTGGGATAATATTTTAGAAGATGCTTGAGCCCAGAAAATGCTGCAGGGACAAATTGGGAAGTAGGGTTGGTAAGGAATTGAGGAATGGTGTGTGAAGGAAAAGAGGGAGGAAGCTGAAACCTTCAGGGAGGTAGAAATTGTTGTCTGATTTTTTCACCTTCACAGATTGACGCCAAGAAGAAACAAGTGGAGGAAGCCCAGGAAGAAGTGAAAAAAGCTGAAGATGAGTTTAAGGACACAAAAGATGCCAAAGCAGAAGGGTGAGTGGCTTTTCCTTGGAATCCTCTCTTGCAGAGGCATCCAGAGGGCCCATGGATGGGGCTGATGTCTCCCAACATCCCATCAGAACAGAAATGCCCATGTTTGGGATTGGGTCCTTCTTGTCCCATGGAAGTTTGGAAGATGGTTAAGATCTTGTGGATGGTTCCCTTCAGGGACACCTCCCACTCTCCCAGGTTGTTCCAAGCTCTGTGTCCAACCTGGTTTGGACACTTCCAAGGATGGAGCAGCTGCAGCTTCTCTGGGAAATCCATTCCAGGGTCTCACTCCCTGCCCAATAATTTTTTTTTTTTCCAATATCCCATTTAAACCTCCCATTCCAGGATGCTGGATTTTGTTTGCCCACCTTTGGTGGTGAAATTCTTTTTTTTATTGTTAATTTTTAATACTAAAAAAGCATCTCACCAGATCCAAACTCTTGAGAAGTAGGTTAGTGCTGAATGGCGCCTTTGGCTCTGCCATTCCAGAGAATTTCTGGGCTTTGGGACATTCTGTGTTGTTCCCTCTCTGCCCTCAGCAACATGGAGAAGAAGAAGAAGCTGTTGAAGAGGTTGGAGGAGCAGTTGGCCAGGATGAACATCCAGGCCATGGACAAGGAGGAGAACAAGCAAATAGCCCTGGGCACATCCAAGCTGAATTACCTGGATCCCAGGATTACTGTGGCTTGGTATGTCTTGGGTGTGAAATCATGGAATGTTTTGGGTTGGAAAGGACCTTAACATTTGTGATGTTCAATGGGCAGACACCTCCACTGTTCTAGGTTGCTCCAAGCCCCATTCAGCCTGGCCTTGGAGACTTCCAGGGATCCAGTGGAGAGGAAAACTGCTGGGTAATTGTGATCTTGTGGTCTGCACAGGTGCAAGAAATTCGGGATTCCCATCGAGAGGATCTACAACAAGACCCAGAGGGAGAAGTTTGCCTGGGCCATCGACATGACTGGAGAGGACTTCGAATTCTGAGCCGGTGCCCTCCATGTGAAATCCCAAATCCTGCTCATTTGGTGCTGTTGGGAAGCATTTTTTTTTTAATTCGCTGCTGCTGGCGGTTGAGGGTTGTCTGAGTTTGGTGCCTTTTTTTTTTGTATGGAAAAGCAAGCACCTGGATTTCCAGTTGAAGCAGGTGTTGCTGATTGGGATTTCCGACTTCGGGAACTCTTAATTCCTCTTCAGAGTTGCCAAGTACTTGGGATCTTTTCTTCCTCTGGAGTCCTGGAAGGAGATTAAAAAAGAGCCTTAATTGTGCTGATCAACAAAATCAGGTCTCATGCTGTCTCCTTGGTGTAGTGGAGCTGTGCTGCCCTTTCCAGACTGAGTGGGATGGATGGGGAAACATGGGGTGATGACAGCAGGGAAACAGGAACTGCAATATTTAACCCAGATTTGGGTTAGGGATGCACTGGGGGCAAAGCAAAAAATCTCAAGGTTTTACATTTCACAGAATTCACAGAATTTCTCTTTGTGCTCTTCCACCTCCAGGAGGGGAGAAAGTTGTGCAATTGCAGGGATATTAAATGGAAAAACCATGGGAGGCAATTTATGTCATGTCAGGAGAAGGTAGAAGGGAAGACGTTGGATTTAAAAGCAGTTTCACATTGCAGGGGGTTAAAATTCACCTTGGCCATTGACAAAGTGCATTTTAAGCACCCCCATGTGGTTAAAGTTTTGTCTGGGAGAACACATCTCACTTGAGGCTGTGTTTATTTCTTTATTTTCTTCACTTGGCTCTGGTTCAGCTCCTGTATCCAGAGCAGGATTGCTCTGTCCAAACAGAGGTTTAGGAAATGGGAAATTTCCTAGGAAATAGGGTAATGCTGGGCCAGGCTCTGGGGGATGAGTGGTGGGGAGTGGGACCAATATTCCTGGAGTTGTTCTTGTGTTGGGATGACTCCTTTGGCATCATCCTTCCCACTCCAGCTGGGAATGGAGCAGGCAGGGATCAACAGCATAAACTGGTTGTGTTTGCTGCTTAATGGGCTGCTTTCCACATCCCCAAAAAAGGCAGTATCAGCACATTCCTGGCAGAATTCCCACATCCCAGCAAATCCCAGGTGTGAACAAACTGTTACACTGGCAGCAAAACCTTCTTGCACCTCAGGGCTGGTGTCCAGGGCTCTGTATTCCAAAGCTCCTGGTGCTTCCCATGTGTTTATTTCCACTCATTCTCATGTTGAAATTGTTGCTGTTTTGGTTGGAAATTGAGGTCTTGGAGTGCATTTCATTAAAACCAAGAGTGATTTTTTTTTTCAAGTATCTGTGACTGGAGGCTTTTTGCAACTCATTCCATGTGTGGTTCTGGGTGTTCCATGATGCATTTCATTAAAACCAAGAGTGATTTTTTTTTTTCAAGTATCTGTGACTGGAGGCTTTTTCCAACTCATTCCTTGTGTGGTTCTGGGTGTTCCATCCCTGGAAGTGTCCAAAGCCAGGTTGGATGAGGCTTGGAGCAACCTTGGATAGGTGTCCCTGCCCATGGCATGAGCTTTAAGGTTCCTTTCAATCCAAACCATTCTGGAAGTCTATAAAATAAAGGAGTAATTCCAGAAAGGCTGAGCTATTGCAGTCCCAAATGGTCCTGTCCCTCCTCACCCTGTTTTTCCTGGAGTCCTCCAAGTGTTTCTGGCAGTATTCCATAGACCTTTCCCATGGCCTAATGCCCAGGAGCTTTTCCTACTGCTCAGAACCCTGTGGAGAAGGATTGTGCTCCTATCCCAGAGAGGAGGATTCCCTCTCCCACCCCAATAATTTGTGGTTATTTGGTGGCTCCAAGCAATGCTGATGTTCTCAGATGACCCCTCCTCACTTTGGCCCTTCCAGGCATGGTTTCAGCTCTCTTTTTCCAATGTTTTTCTGAAGTCTCCATCCCTTGAAGTGCTCAAAAAACCCTCTGGAAATGGCACTTGAGGATATGGTTTAGTGGTGAACATGGTGGTTGGACTTGATAATCCTAAAAGTATTTTCCAACTTTCTATGATGTTGTAGGCAGAGGAAAACCTGCGTTTGTTTGGTGAACTGAGGTTGTGACAGCATTTGCTGAAATTCAAAGTCAAAAGTTTAGCATTTTTCTGTTGTGATGACTTCCTCTTTTTATTTAACAAGGGAAGTTGTGGTTTGTGACAAAACCAGAAATGACACCCTCCTGTGTGATTTCTGGTTGCTTAATTTTCTTTTCATAAAAGCCTTCTTTTTCAGTGTGGGTGGGAGGAGGCCTTGCCCAAAATCTATCAGGGATGAAGCTGACTGCTCAGGCTGGTACTGGAGCTTAGGGCTGTTATAGGTACATAATGCAGCTTTAATAAACAACAAAACCCCACAAACACACAAAAAAACCCCAACAAAAAACCCCAAACAAATGAAAAAATCCCCAAAAAACATGTGAGGGTTGGGAAGTTTGTACCCTTTCAGTAGCCTGGGGATGTCCTATGCTGATGGCTCTGGGCAGTGTTGATAGAGGAGCTGTTGGAGAAGCTAAATTTAGGAGTGGGAAGAGGTGGTGAGAAGTTCCTCTTGTTTTGCTTTGGTGTCTTCTGCCCCTGCTCAGACTCTTCCCAGAAATCCAGGGTTGGGAGGATCTCTGGAGGGCTTGAGTTCATCCTTCTCCTCAAAGGAGAGTCGACTCTGGCTGAGTTGTTCTGTGTTTTCTCAAACTTAATTTCAGTATTTCTGTGCAGGGAGATTCCTCCACCATCTCTCAGGGTCACTGTTTTGGAAATGAATCACTGCCCTGGCAAAGCTTTTCCTTCCCTGGGTCTGGTTGGAGTTTCCCTTGATGCATCCTGGAAGCAGCTGCTTGTCCTTTGTGCAGAGCCAGAGCCAGATTATCCTTGGACATCAGCTCCATAATTGTCCCTGTTAAAGGCAGCAAATTAATGTCCCTCAGGCTGTCCTGTTCCATGGGATCACTTAGCCCCAAATTCTGGGTCTTGGAACTTAAAGAATCATGGAAGGGTTTGGGTTGGAAGAGACCTTAAAGATCATGGAATTCAACTCCATACCATGGGCAGGAACACCTTCCACTATCCCAGGTTGCTCCAAGCCCTGTCCAACCTGGCCTTGGACATTTCCAGGGATCCAGGGGCAGCCACAGATTCTCTGGGAATTCCATTCCAAGGCCTTATCACCCTCACAGGGAAGAATTTATCCTCAATATCCCATCTATCCCTGCCCTCTGGCAGTGGGAAGCCATTCCCTGTGTCCTGTCCCTCCATCCCTTATCCCAAGTCCCTCTCCAGCTCTCCTGGAGCCCCTTCAGGCACTGGAAGGGGCTCTGAGGTTTCCCTGGAGCCTTCCCTTCTCCAGGCTGGACATTCCCAGCTCTCCCCTCCAGAGCAGAGGGGCTCCAGCCCTTGGAGCATCTCCGTGGCCTCCTCTGAATCTGCCTCAGCAGTTCCACATCCTTGTGCTGATGATCCCAAAATTGGATTCAGTGCTTCAGCTCTGGTGCCCCCAATCTGAGGATGGCTCTACAAGCAATTCCTCTTCCCACAGAAGCTGTTTGAGCAGCTGGAAGCTCCAGTGGGATCCATCCGCGCTCGTTGCTTCTGCATCAGCATCCTGGAGATTCAGGGACATAAATCCTTTGGGCAGAGCTGTGCACATCACGAATCTTCCCACGTCTCAGAGGGATGAGTCAGAGTCTTGCTCCGTGTCCAACTGATTATTGGTCCTCATGTATGAAAAAACCTCCTGTTTTCCAGAGCCACATTCCACAGCTTCAGGTTGGCAGGGCTCCCCCGCCTCCCCCGGCCCATCAGATGATCTAAATCATGGAATCGTTTAGGTTGGAAAAGCCCTTTAAGTTCATCAAGTGCAGCCGTTAATTGCGGCGTTCACCACAAGACAATGTCCCCAAGTGCCACATTTCCACCTTTTTTACATCCCTCCAGGAATGGTGACTCAGCCACTTTGGAGAAGGGAACTCATCAGCTCTGCTTGGCTGCTCTCTCATCTGCTTAATGATGGGGCCTTCAGACTTGAGGAGAGGTGGAATTTCGGCTGATTTATCTTAATTGGTGCTGAGAGGGGAGGGGAGGTGATGGAGCAGTTGCTGCTCTGATGCTGCTTCTCCCTTGCATCCAGTCCCTGGAGTGATGGGATGAAGGGAAAACCACCCACCTGCAGCCTGGCAGACTCGTAAAAGGTGGGAAACCCTGGTGGGGTTTTGAAGAAGAAAAAGGTGAAGGATTTCCAGAGGGTTTTTCCTCCCTGCCCTTCTCCTCATGAGGTCTGACATTGCAAAAATGAGGAGAAAAAAAAAAAAGAGAAATACAGAACAGAAACTTTCAAGGGATTGTTTTGTCAGTTTAAGAGGAAAGGGAAGGACATTTGAGGCTGCGGCTGCTGTGATTCAGACGCTGTCTCTGAGCTCAGTGAATGGAGACGTTTCCTTTCCCAACCTTTTTTAGTGGGAGACAAGAGAGCATGGCTGTGGTTTGGCATAAATAAAACATGTGCTGAAAGAGCTCCCTGGATTTCTGTCCCTTCACACTCAGTCAGGCTCAGACGGATGGAAAATCAGCCCAAATTGCAGAGCCATTATCCCAGGCCACGTGTTTGGAAGAGCTGATGCCAAGGGAAGTGGCTGCAAGGAAAAGAACCTGGGAGAAATCGGATCCCTGGGGTAAACTGAAGGACTGGGTAATAAAGGGCAGAGGAAAGGCTTCCAGGGAAGGATGAAACTCCAGGATCTCAGGTTTTTACCCATTGAAAGAGCTGACCCTGGCTGTGGGGTGAGGATGGCTGCACATCCTGAGTCTCCCACTAGGGATGAGTGGATAACATCCAGCCTGGCTCTTCCTATCCCTGTTTTTGGCCAGTGGACACCTCGGTTACTCAAAACAAAATAAAGAATCAGGAAAAGCTCAGCTGAGTTGTCCCAAGGCCTGAGACTGGCTTCTCCAGACTTTATTCCTGAGCCATTGCAGGCTAGGGCAGGAGAAATCCCAATAAATTACTTTGTTAATATTCTTAATCCAAGCTGGGATTAAGCTGCAATTATCATTTTATTGGTTTGGCTCCGGAATAAGATTTGGGATAAAGGCTCTCCCAGCTTAAGGGAGGCTCCTAAATTCCTTCTGCTGCCGTGAGCCTGGAAGGAAGAGGGATCATGGAATCATGGATTGGTTTGTGTTGGAAAGGACCTTCCAGATCATGGAATTCCATCCCCCTGCCATGAAGGGGCTTGCTTCAAGCCCCATCCCACTGGATTTCCAGGGATGGGGCAGCCACAGCTTCTCTGGGAATTCCATTCCAGGCCTCACCACCTTCACAGGGAAGAATTCTTTCCCCATATCCCTTCAGACCCTCCCCTGTGGGAGTGGGAAGCCATTCCCCCCCATCCTAGTGTAAAAAGTGCCTTTTCCAAGTGATGTGATGTCTCTCCAGACTGTAGGAACTTCCAGAGGTTCCCTGGGATTGCCCTGTGTTGCAGGAGGCAGCTGATTAGTTCCCAAAAAATGCTGAGTTTCCAGGCTGCCCCTCCTCTTGGAAACAGGGCAGACGGATTTTCCTGGCAGGATGGGACAACAAGGAAGTCTCCAATCCCTTCCCAGGGTCACTTGGAGTTGAGTGAGCTCATTCTGTGGAATCTCTTCCACCTCTTTCTCAAGGTTTTGTTGGGATTTTCTACTTCTGAAGGCTGGATTTGCCAAAGTGGCGGAGAATGGGGTGGCAATTAACTCAACCAGCCTTAATTGGGGCTCCTGTTCCAGTCTGGGCTGTCCCCCAGGCAGAAACAGATTCTGAACTTTGGCACATTTCATTCCTGGTGCAGGAAGCAGCACTTCAGTTGGAGGGAACACCTGGAGGGCTTAAATCTCCACCTCCACCCCTCTCCTGAGCATCCCTGGGTCCAATACTGGATTTCTGACAAAAGCAGGCATGGAATGAACTCAAATGTCCTCAAAGCAAATTCTGCTGCTGCTGGGGCTGGGAGTTAGGATGGTGAGGGGAGATAAACTGGACCCAGGAGGTCTGGCTGCTCTTCCAAGCCCAGGAACTCTGCACAATCCCTTTTTAAAAAATTTGGCTTCTCT